ATGTTCCATCGCAGGAACAACCTTCAATGACGCTTTTTGTGACTCTGGTTCTTGTGTTAATCTCGTCTCCAAGGCTATTGTAGACGATTTGGGTATTGCTGATGTTGAGCGTTCTCAGTTGACCTGACCTTTGCAAACTCTTCCAGATGAGTCCCATATGGAACCATCCGCAGCCTTCATGTTCAACTAGGGGAATGCGTTGTTCCTGCTGAGTTTCAAGTTGTTGAGATGAACAAGGATCATGAGATGCCTTTGATATTTGGAAAGACATTCATGGCCACTGTTGGAGCAACCATTGATATGCCCAACAAGAGAGTCTGCTTCTCCAACATCAACAAGAAAGTTTTCTACAAGACTGTACCCACCAGATCTTCCTCATCACACGCCTCTTGCATCTCAGTGTTTGATGTAGAAAAGCTGAAGGTTGCTCCATAGAAAGAGCATGGTGATAAGGGTGATAGCAGACTGTTCTCTGATGAAAATCCTAGCACTGATCCTACTAAATTCAGTGGGAATTCAAGCATGAAACATAAAGTCCAGAAGAAAAGGGTCATGGGAGATCCTACAATGACTTTGTTACCTCTCAAGTGTGATGAGAACTCCCTTGAGTATGAGGTAAAGTGAAAGGGTACCTCCAAACCGTTCTCTAAAGTCAGAGCCATTCTCACATGTGACCTGAAGGAGAAAGGGGAAGCTGCTGTGAAAGGGTTGTTGAGCAGGGTTTTGAAGCTGAACATGTCTGATTGTGGAGTTTGTTTTGGAATAGGCCCTCCTGCTAAACCAGACTGATCCCCATCACCAAGTCAAGCTAGTGACTTTAACCAAGCGCTTGGTGGGAGGCAACCCACTGCTGAGTTTAAATTGTTTTAAGGATTTTTCTTTGTTTTTACTTTTATTTCACTGAGTTTCAGAGTAAAAAAAAAACAGAGATACCTCTTTTCTACAGACAGAGCACAGTCAAGGAGAAAATGCAACCTGCTCCGTCAGGCTGCTCTGCGCCAGGTAAGTATCAGGTAAGTCTGGTTGGCTGACTCTAGGTTTATTTTCACACCAGAGACGGTGTGAAGTAAGTCTGGGGGAGACACCTGTGTGTTTCTGAACTTTATTTGCTTCTGTTTGTGTTTCTTGAGTCAGTCATGTTTCTGTTTTCATTTATTGAGTCAGTTTTAGGATCGAGTCACTCAAATTTATGTGGGAATAAGACCTTATCTTATGATGCTTTCTAACCACCTTGTGCTTTAAGTATCTTATTTAGTGACCTTAGCAGTGATGAAAGACGTTCACTTGGACCTAGAACACCCTCTGACTTTACCTCACCTTGCTCTCCAGAAGATTTCTGGTTGTAGAGTTTATTCTGGAAAGACTTAAACTCCATCTAACATGAACCTAATATTGACTTAATCCTTCTTGTTATGGGCGTTAGATTAGGCAAACGAGATTACACTCAGGACATCTTAATTCATTATATCCATCTTGTTGATCCTGAGTGGCTATCTCATCTTTAGCTAGTTCCCACCCTGAACCTTAAAACCTTTTGTTTCACCTTCATGCATTCTGTTCTTAAGTTCATATGTGCAGATATGTGAAAAAGGGCTGGAGAGGAAAGGATCAACACTGCTCTCACTCGTTTTGCTGACTACGCTTCAGAGCAAAGACGTACATGATCCACCCAAAAGAGAACAATCAGTAGGGTGATCCGAGCAGAAACGTAAAAATGGTGAAAGAAGTGATAAGTCAGAACCACCAGGGGCATACTACATGTGATTACCTCCTTCTCGTCATCATCATCATCACCTGAGCTCATCATTTTATTAAGTCAAAAAAAATCTGTATTATTTATGTCCCAAGAGTTCTAAAAGATGATGAGAAGGAGAAGAACTGAACCACTGCCCCTGGTCGATCAGAGAAGCAAATAACTTAAGTAGAAATGAAAAAGTATGTAGAAGGGGTGATCTGAAAGGAAGAGAGCAACCTGTCAAAGAAAAGAGGAACAAGGAGCGATTGCTCTGCAGAGAAATCGAGTGAGGGTTCGTGGAGATCAATGGATCCATCCTCTCTGGCAATTTTGTGTGATATCCTGCATCCTTTACAAAGACATTGTAAACCCTAAACACTTGTTAACTCCACTTTAAACACTGAAAAAGCCTTTCTCATACCTAGCCCGTCTACCCTGAATAATGCCTATGAGAAGAAGCTCATACTGATCTTAAATGAATATATGGAGTTTTTGTTTGAAAGGTTTGACTTTTGCAGGTTTGAGATATAGAGTATGAAGCCGATTTGAATAGCAATCAATGGGGTTCTGGTAAGGGTGTGTCTGCTTATATTGTTCAGAGATTTGTGGTTAAAGTATGGTTGCTGAAATGAGAGAGTTCCCACACTTGCAAACCTTTCCCACTGATCAGGAACTTGACATTATTTGAAGATAAACAAGGATCCAAGTCTGGGGGAATTGATATGTTGTGTTTTTGACATGTTACACACATGCTTTTCATATCACATTTGTGTTTTCCTGGAGTCTTCTTAGTGTGTTTTGAGTTGTTTCATGTGGGGAACGAGTTGGATTGCACCAGAAGGAGCATATGAAAGAAAGAATGCAAAAACCAGAGTTTTCCATCACGGAGCACCCAAGCGGAGCAAACCCGATTTGCTCCCGTTCATTAATGAGACCTCTGATCTATTTCTGGAAAGAGCAAAACGCAGCATTCCTCTCTACCCTAACAGGCATCGTTCTTTAAAAAAAAACGATGGCCTACTCTTTTAGACATAGAGCATAGACTAGATTTTACACAAGAAAACTTGTTGAGACTTTTTGTTGAAGATTTGTTTTAGCTATTTTGTAAGGGCCAAGGTTTCCTCCTCTTGGTTTCTAGAGAAGAAATCCCTGAACCCTTTTTATACTTTGATTTATCTTATGCATTATTCAGTCATGACTTGTGTGTTCTCTTGTGTTATGATCGAGTAGTCGATTTGTTAGCATAGGGTTCTAGGGTGTTGATCCATTGAACTGACACATAGATAAGCCTCATTCTCGCTTTTGCTCCCCACTGTTCTTACTGCTGATACTGATCTGATCACTTAGTATTTGATTCCAAGTTTAATCTTTATCATTAATCATGAATTAGATTGCTAGATCTGATGAGAGCAAGCATCACATCCCTGGTCAGCAAAAGTAGATATCAGGGTGTGATGTGAGCATATTAGGTCTGTGTTTAATATTTTCTGTCGAGCGTTGATCCACGCGAGAGTATATGTATCATGCCCATCCGCGAAAGGAGCACACTTGCGAGAGCAAGGTGTTCTAGTTAAGAAATCTAAGTTCTAGGCTGCATTTAAAGAGCTTGAATAATTGTTTGGTTCAATATGGTTAACACCCAATAAGACACCCTAGTTTAACATCCTTATATCCTGAATTTAAAACCTAATTTTGTTATTTGTTTCTCACGATTTGTTTTTCACAACACTTAATCGTTTTACCTTGAATTTGATCCTATAGAAGTAAAGTGTAATATTTGGTCTCTGTGGTTTCGATCCTAAAGTGCTACATCGACATACCATTCCATTGTGGTAGTGTGCACATTATGTTAATTGGTGTGCGTTATCAATTAACATAAACACCTATTAAAATAAAATTATCTATTTATATGATTTTATAATCATTGTAACTTTTTATTAAAAACTAAATTAGACCTTGATCACAAAAGTTTATGTGAGATTTTTAACAGTTTTAGTAATTTATATCGTGTTGAAATTTCAAAATACAACATATATAAAAAAATCTAATTTTTTATTATATGATTAGTGTAGTTGTGTAATTTATTTTAATAATAAAAAACTAAACAAAAATGATATAAAATATACATATTGTTAACAAATCTTTATTATTTAAATTTTTTAATAATCATATATATCTTAATCACATTAGGTAACTCCGTAAGTTTTATTTAAGGAATGAATATATAGGAGATTACTTTGATATGTTATTTAGTTTGATATGTCTTATATGAGACTAACGAATCATGTTTGAAAACTATGTTTTATATGAGGTGTTTTAGAATTTTCTAAATTGAAACAGAAAGCATAGAGTGGTGCCACGTAGGATAATGTTATTTTTAATTAATACAAATTTAAAGTTATAATTTTTCGAATGTTTCTCGGTTAATATATAGGAGATACGTAATGGTGTAAATACGGAAGTGTATAATGAAGTAGATGAAGACAAATGAATTCAACATATGATTTCAAGTCAGATTAAATTATGACCACCTTGTAGTTTTAAGACTTTAAATGAAGACCCTCGAAGAAACACTTTAAATTAAGACTAGTGGGTCTTCTCAAATTTGTATAAAAGAATGTACCTTTATTTCTAACTATTAGAAGCAACATGTTCATTTAAAACTCACATAGAGATGCTTAACCTTTCCAATAATATTTTTTTTTTATCTAGGGACAACGAGAAGATTTAACCTATATAATCTTTTTAGAGAAGACTTTCTTTTTGGGGAAAACTTTAGAGAAAGACTCTTGTCAACGCTTCCAACTCTTTAGTAGAGAGATGTTATCGTCCGAACTCAACACAATGTTACCCAAATTGCAGTTTTTCCACTTGTGTTGATTCAGAATGTTAAACCCGCTTTACCAAAAACAAAAACAAAAAAACAGAGTTGGAAAGGTGGGTCCGCTGGTGTTCTTGGTTCTTACTTCATAGACAATATCAAATACTTGAAACTTCAATTTATCTTGGACCAGCTGCAAAGCAATTTACATGGGACAATGTCCCTTCCACGTGCATTCTCACGTGCCCAACTTTTCGTTGAAAGAGAAAAAAACTCCTGACCTACACGGTTAGAGACTAACCTGAAATTAGCTGGTTTAGACACGGTAGGGACCAATTTGTATGGTTAAACCGATACTTAACTGAAAAGCTTTCATATTCTTAGGGTGTCAACGCCTCTGCTATTTGATTATAAAGATGTTTTGTCATAACACTCAAAACAAAAATGGATTCTTGGGTACTGAAGTTGTTGTTGCCACAACTTCTGCTTGTGCTGATCCAACATGCTGACGCAAGCTCCATCATCAAATATCTTCCTGGCTTTGAAGGCCCTCTTCCTTTTCAGCTTGAAACTGGGTTTTGTTCCTCTTCATCTTTTCTCCATGTTAATGAATCTGTGTTCTGAGTTTTAAAGTTAAAAATATTTTCAGGTACATTGGTGTTGGTGAGGCAGAGGAAGATCAAATGTTCTACTACTTCATCAAATCTGAGAGGAACCCAGAAGAAGACCCTCTTCTTGTCTGGTTAACTGGAGGACCTGGTTGCTCTTCTTTCTCTGGTCTTGTTTATGAGAATGGTAAGTAAATCTTCTAAAAACCATTCTTACTTGTTTTGTGAAATGTTTTTAATGACTTGTTTGAACTGAAACAAATCAGGGCCTCTTGCTTTTAAGGTTGAGGCCTACAATGGAAGTATCCCCAGTTTGGTCTCTACCACATATTCATGGACTAAGGTAACTACTGGGATGTACATATCCCGTTTAGCTGGTTTTTAACTTTATATATGATGTAACCACTCTGTTTTATTCATATAAAACTTTCAAGCTTAGAGGGATTGCTTCTTTTCAGGTAGCGAATATAATCTATCTGGACCAGCCTGTTGGAACTGGCTTTTCTTACTCAAGAAATCCTCTTGCTGATATACCAAGTGACACCGGATCAGTTAAGCGGGTCCACGAGTTTGTTCTTAAGGTAAACGGAAATCTCAAACTGTTCATAAACTATCTTTATGCAAACTTTTGGAGAGATTTTGTTATTCTTGTTGGTAATTTTTATGCAGTGGCTAGACAAGCATCCTGAGTATTTCTCTAATCCTTTCTACGTTACTGGAAACTCTTATTCTGGTAAGGTGATTCCGGCCATCGTTCAAGAAATCTCAAATGGTAAGTTCTTTTTAGTTTTCTTTTCAATCCCTTTTGCATGCCCTTTTCTTTAGCTACCCCTCTCTTGATTTAGTTATTTTACCAATATATCACAGGAAATTATATATGCTGCAAACCTCAAATAAATCTCCAGGTTTCATCAGTGTTTGCTTGCTTCTTGCATTATTTCAATATACCTTATCAAATATTAAGATCTTTAGCTTTGTAACAATAGGGCTATGTGCTCGGAAACCCGGTAACAAACTTTGATCTTGATAATAATACTCGCATTCCATTTGCTCACGGAATGGCACTAATCTCTGATGAACTCTATGAGGTACCAGTTATAAAATCTAGGTTGAAGTCTTTTCTCTTATTTCACCATGATGAAGTGGTTGATGACATTTCAAAACTCTTACGTTGTAGTCGATGAAGAAAAGCTGTGGAGGAAATTATTTTAACGTCGATCCTCAAAACACAGAATGCTTGGAACTCGTTAAAGACTTCGAGAAGGTATACACACATTCAGGTATTTAACATAGATTCAGTGGTAAATCACTGACTTAGAATTTATTTGTGGTTTCTTTACAGTGTGTTTCTAGAATATATGAAGAACTTATCCTACAATCAAACTGTGACAAAACATCTCCTGATTGCTATGTAAGCTTCATTGTATTCTTGTATCAAATAGCTAACCACATAATTAAAAAACTACAAAAGAACAGTATTGAAAAAGGTTAATTTTTATTTTTTTCTTGCAGACTTATTGGTATTCACTATCTGAATACTGGGCTAATAATGAGAGCGTACGTAGAGCACTTGGAGTGGTGAAGGTAATATACAACTTCTTTATAGTATCATTGATCATTGGGTAAATATGATCACCAGACTTTATGATTGCAGGGGACTACAGGGGAATGGGACCGGTGTAACTGGAATGTGCAGTGCAATCAAGACATTCAAAGCAGTATACCATACCATATGAATAACAGCATCAAAGGCTATCGATCTCTCATCCTCAGGTACACAAATACTTAACAAACTTCTTCACAAGCATGCTTGATTACTTAATTTTTTGTATAATGTTCAACAGTGGTGATCACGATATGACAATCCCTTTTGTTGGAACTCAAGACTGGATAAGGTCTCTAAACTTTTCCATTGTTGAGAAATGGAGGCCATGGATGGTAAATGATCAAGTCGCTGGGTATACACCGTTTACATTTTCTTTGTTTTGTTGGCTTCTTTTAATTAATTGTGATTTAAGCTGGCCAACATTTTGATTTGCAGATACACCAAGACTTATGCTAATAAGATGACATTTGCCACTGTGAAAGTAACTCTTTGATCCCAAATTTCCATTGACATAAAATGTAAAGCTTATGTTTTCTACATCAGATTTCGTGATTGTTTAATGTGTTTGGTTTATATAGGGAGGTGGGCACACTCTAGAGTATAAACCAGTAGAGAGCTCAATCTTGTTCGAAAGGTGGATAAGGGGCCAACCTCTTTAAACATAGAAACCTTCATCTGAGCTATTGATTAATGTTGAAGCTGAAAGTGCTTGGTGTCTGGATTCATAGAGAGAGACCATTTGTTATCATTGTTTTGACTACATTTTTTTCTTGTTTTGGACCGTTTATTCAATTTGTTTTCAATTAGATCGCGGAGTACTATCTGAGGTTTTCGATACGTAATTAACGTTTGGCAAAACGTGAAATAGACATATCTATATATATAAACTAGAATTTCCCTCTTTTTCCTTAGGCCACGTCACTAAATAAGTGATTCTGGGTGCGCCACGTGTCAGGTGACACTAATTCGCAGCGTTTCATTGACCCAGTCCGTCGAACAGTTCTAAGTGTAAACTCAACGACGCGTTTTAATATTAGGGTTGGACCAGTTTCATCGCCTCCGTTCTTGATCGAGTCACATCCTGAGTTCTGATAGCGTTCTTTCTTCTTCTTCATATCAATCACAAAAACTATCAGTTACAGATTCATCCTATTAAATTCCTTCTTAAATCCTTTACCCACGATCTACCTTGAATGCAAGCATCACTCCTGCAAGGCAGTGGAACTGCAACTATAAAAAGAGTAACCTGGCTACTTGACGAAGATGGGTCATAGAAGTATATGGTATCTTCTGGACAAAGATCATTAAAGCCTTGAAAGCCAGCAGGCGTCTTCCAATTACTGGAAAGTTTGTGGGGAGTGTTTGTTTTGGCTTATTTAGTATCATTAGAATCCGTTTTTAATTCTTTCTATGAGTCTTTTTTGTGTTGTTAGCTTGATATTCGAGATCTCAAGTCTACAATTTGTTCAGTTGTTGATGTCGTGCACAGTATGGCATCTTCCATATCCCGCTGATACGAAGGTAAATTAATTTCTTAGGAATTATAACGAACTTATGACTTATGTGACTTATCCTCTTATGGCTTCTCTGTGAAATGGACGGACAAACCTCGATATATAGTAGGTGGTGCTAATATGAGAGGGTGGCCTGAGAAGATGAGCTTGAGATCGTGAGATTAAACCTTAAGAATTACAATATCATACAAAAAATAGTAACATAGATGACAAGTAAAGTATATCCCGCCCGTAGAGTGGACCGACCCTAGTATCCATAAACAAAATTATTCCAAGTACATGAAGAAGCATTATAAATATGGACAGAAGTTAAGAGTCGTTGAAATATATTGGTTTCTTTTTTACTTTACTCTCATACTAGGATAAGACTTGCGCTTTGTCGAAGGTGAGTGTATATAATTAAAATATATAATTTTAGTATTGCCAAATTTAAAGTTTACATATGATTGTTTATATATGTATTTGGAACTTTGAAATTTTTATACAATTATCTATACGTAAGATCAGAAACAATTGTAATTAGAACTGTAGATCAAAACTTAAAATTTAATGGGTCCAGTTCATATATCTTTTCAGTTTTCAATGTTTGAGTGTTGAAAAAATAAACGGAGTGTCACATGACTTAATTGGTAGTGCATTATCAAGTTCCCTAATGATTTCTTAAGAAGTAGTTGGTAGAATATTTTCATTTAGAATATATAAAGTTTCAAAACTAATTTAATATAATTTTTTATTTGTCTATTAATATCAGAAAATTATATTTTTAACATTTGTTTTTAAATAAAAAATAATTTTATAAAAAATAAGTTAAATATTAAATTATAATCATGTTTAAAATAATATTATTTATTCATACGATATGATATATATATATATATATATTAACATAAACACCTATTAAAATAAAATTATATATTCATATGAATTTATAATCATTGTAACTTATTATAAAAAACAGACCTTGATCACAAAAGTTTATGTGAGATTTTTAACAGTTTTAGTAATTTATACTCGTTTTGAAAATTTCAAAATATAACATATATAAAAAATCTAAATTTTTATTATAGGATTAGCGTAGATGTGTAATTTATTTTAATAAAAAAATTTTAAAAATGAGATAAAGTATACATATTGTTAAAAAATATTTATTATTTAACATCATTAATAGTCAAATATATCTTAATCACATTAGGTAATTCCGTAGGTTTTATTTAAGGAAAAAATATATAGGAGATTTAGTTTGATATGTTTTATATGAGACCAATAGACCATGTTTTAAAACTATGATTTATAGGAGGTTCTCTAGAATCCTTCTAAACTGAAATAGAATGCATAGAGAGGTGCCACGTATGATTGAGTATTTTTTAATTAATACAAACTTAAGGTTACAACTTTTCAAATGTTTCTCAATTAATATATAGGGGATGTTTGCTTTAAATATAATGTCCTCTTAGTTTAAGCTTTCTTTTAAGATTTTTAATACTTGTTAATTATTAATATATACTAGTTAATAACCCGAACCTTGTGTGAGATCGGATTATAATTTCTTTATCTTTTAATAAAGAGACATTAAATCTGTTTGATTTAGATATCAGTTCGGTTTTAGGTTTGTTTTTGTTTTTTTGTTTTGTTTTTAATCTACTAAAATATAACAATCATTCTAAATCAATATATATTTTGGTTTGTTCTGTTAAAATGTTTGGTATTTTTTGTTCTTCCAATGAAAACAAAAAAATATTCTTATTTGTTTGGTTTCATGATATATGAATTTTAAATAGCTATGATGTCAAACAAATAGTTTCATATTATAGTTTCTAAATGGATGATAATAGTTAAAGAAAATGAAAAGAAAATTATTAAAACAAATCATTTCACTACAATTTGGTCGATAGTGAAAAAACATTAAGAAATACAATATTTCAACTTCCAAAAGAGTCAAATACTTTTAATTATGGTGAATATTTAGTTATATAAGTATTCACGTCAATGTGCACATGCATGCATATGTAAACATATATAAAGATGGTCGATAAATATATAAAAATACTTTTAATTAATATAAAATAAGATTTTTAGTCAAAATAACATATGAAAGATAAAAATTCTTAAAATAAAATTAATTAAAAATAAAATAGGCTTAGGCATTAGTGAAGTTTTTCATATAAAGAAAATCAAATTGTATGAATAGGGTGGACATGAATATAATATCCAAGTATTTGCAGGTACTCGTGTCAATTGGATCTGTAAACACTTGGATATTCAGTGTCTCGGATAACCATAAAATTTTAGAATTTTAAAAAATATCCGATTTGATCTGAAAATAAAATTGAAAATAAATATTAAATATTAAAATTACAAAATAATAATATTTTATTACAAAATGAAATTATTTAAAATTTTAAATTCTAATACCTAATATAACAAATATAATACATAAATATATTGTAAAACTTATATAAACTATAATATATATGACTTATATATATAATTCTTTAAATATATCTATATATATGCATACAACGGATCAAATTTCGTTCCTAATATTTGTGTTTTTTATATTTACGGATATTACGTTTTTTTAATATTTTGCTTCATAGAGTTATGAATATCAGAATTTTCTGTTTAAATCACAACAGAAAACAAATCGAATACAAATTTATAAATTTTTGCCCAACACTATCTGTAAATAATAAAAATAATAAATATATATAATTGGACTTTCGATTCATTATTCGTTTTGATTCGAACCGAAAAATTCAGATAATGTGATTTTTATTAGAACTTTGCATGTGTGTTTTATATTGAAAACCTCGTAAAATTCATAGTGTAAACGCATTTATGTAGAGTTTGTCTGTGAAAATCTCTATATGTGACATGCGTTCTTATTCTCAAATAGTTGTAAGACTGCCACATGTCCCTCATATTGTGAACACATTTATTATAATGTTTCACTTTTAATACATAAGATATTGTAGGGCTTGGACATTTATCCGAGATCCGGATTTGATCCGCTCTGAAATTAGGATATCCGGGAGTGCTCGGATCCAAATCCGGATAGTAAAATCTCGGATCCGTGCAAACCGAATCTTGGTCCGGATATCTTAATTTGTAGGTCCGGATATCCGGATTCGGATCCGTATTTTAAAAAATATTTTTTTTTTATTTTTTTATTAATTAATCTGATATATTAATATTTATACATAAAATAAGTTTAATAATATTCTACTTTTATATTAATAATACTATATGTCATATATGTATTCATAAATTATGCTTAAATATTTAGTTTATGTATTATTTTTAGATTTTTTTATTTGTAAAATTTTTTTAATTATTTTTACGGATCCGAATCCGAATATGGATACCCGCAGATATCACAATATCTATCCGGATATCCGGAAGATACAAATCCGAATTCGGATACTAAAATTACGGATCTGACGAATCCGCATCCGGATCCGGATACTTCAAATTTCCCGGATATCCGGATCTGTCCCACCCCTAAGATATTGCACCAAATTGAGTTAAGAAAAAGTTTTTCTTATGCAGTATTTATATAAAATATTTTGGAGGTTAATAGATGTGTCTAAGTTAAGCCACTCTAACCTATGCGTGATGCAGTACATATCATATTTTTCTTAATAAAAGTATATAAGATCCGTCAAAGAATGTGTATATATGATCAAATTTGCGTATCGTGCAAGTCTTCCTTAAATCCCTCGTTGTTCGTTAAATAATACAGAGACAAGCTTTGAATGTCGTAGTCAACAAGTGTATACATCATTTCATGCATGTGAGTGTCTTGACTAGTCCTGGGCATATTATCCGAAATCTGAAAACCAAACCGAAAAACCGAACCGAAACCGGTTTGAAAATTACAAAAACTCGAACGGTCCTATATTTCTTAATCTGAAAAACCGAAACCGAACCGAGATCGAACCGAGAACTGAACGGGTACCCGAATATTATAAATATATTAAAAATATTAATTATTTTTAATTTTAATATCTATAAAATATAATTTATAAATAAAAATATCTATAAAATCGGAACTACCCAAAGAACCCAAATTTTTTTTGGGTTTTTCCAGGTTTAACTCGGGTTTTTAAGATTTTTTTCGGTTTATTGGGCTTCAGCCCGAACTAAACCCGAATTATTTGTAATACTGCTCTACTTTGGGTTTTATAAAAAAAAATAGAAATCCGATCTGAACCCGACATTATCCGAACCGATCCGAAAAATGTCCGGTTCCTAAACGGTTCCTAAACCTCTAAACCCGAATAACCCGAAAACTGAAAAACCGAACCGATCGAAACCGAAAACCTGAATGTCCATGACTAATCGGGAGTGATGAAAGA